GTTGTGTACTGCTCGTCTACAGAGCTTAAATTATGTAAATTAAGATTTCCCATAGCATTTTTTATGTCTTCCTTGACTTTATTTTCATCTAGGTGTCTTGAGCTCCTAAAAGATATGACTTTGAATGGATGTTGTTTCACTTTGGGTTTCAGAAAGCCATAGATCATAGAGTGATCACTCAGACCAAAATCAATGACTCCCGCTGTATCAAACAAATCATCCCTGTTGGTAAGGATTACRTCTATGAGTGTTTTGCTGGTGGGAGTTACTCTCGTACTCTCTTCGATTAGACATGTAAGACCAAATACATCTTCTAGATCGTTAAGAATCTTTCCTTTTCAATCCCTGGACTTACCATCATGTGTGAGTATGGACATGTTTGTTGGTTCTCTCCTGTGCTTCAAGATTTTTTCTCCAGGTTCTCTAGTCCCCCCTCCCTCCCCTCCAATTAAAATCAACTTTTAAATTTTAATTCAATCTGGCATCAAGAATTTTTGCTAATGACTCTCTGGCTAATCAATTAAATCCTGGTCTTACAGGGCTGTCAACCCCCGAGATATTCAAATCTGGAGATATTGATAGGAAAGGGACATGACATCACAGCACGTCAAAAAGCGCGCAAAAAGACATCTTTTGCTTTGTAACATTTGATGTGATTGGTTTATTTCTGACCAATCAGATTATCACTTATATTACAATGGCCTGCTTGCAAGAACAGTTTATGAGGAACATTTTGATTTTGTTAGCGATTTAAAATAACACAAACAACATGACACAAAATAATTGGAATTTTATGGTTGTGAAAGTCGAGTCTCACAAGACAAGAAATGGTCAGCTTTAGCGATTATCCGGGAGATTTGATACTCTAATCTGGAGACCGGGAGACACGGTCCAAAATCTGGAGACTCTCGGTTTATCCCTGTCTTAGTAGGCACTTATAAACACACAGTGCATCAGAATTAAGCTTATTGCAGAGTGAGAAAAGACTTGCGCGTTAATTCGCGATATAAGATGGACCGGAACTCGTGAATAAAAACGATATCAAGATATCAAGCTCTTAACGTATGAAAATATCTATTTATTTCAAACCTGTATTGTTTATTGTTAATGAAACCGCGTCGCTCAACTTGTCTTCTTCTTTTGAAATCTTTCTCTTCTTGTTCTTTGCGTCGTTTGTTTTGTCACTYCTCTTCTGAAAATGTAACATTAAAAATTGACATTTACGAGAAGCGCACATTTTTCATGATACATYATAAGGTCATAAGAGTACCTTTTTCTTGGGTTTAATAACTGGAACATCGTCTTTGTCTATAAACACAAGCATATATACATGTATTTATTAGTGTGTGTTAGACATATGCGCTGTAAATATAAAGCTTAGATATCCCCTCAAAATAACCGACAAAATGTCTACCTAAAACAAYGAGAAGCTTACCAATATATTCAAGTTGCTTCTTCAGAGCTTTTCTAATATCATCTTCACTAATACTGTCTTTCATTTTGCCAGGAAAACTTATTTTCTTCAAGTTCACTTTTTAAGTTCAGTTGTCCGCCATGTTGGACGTGATGAGAAACGATAGACTGGTATCTAGTTACTAGCCCTTCTCCATCACCTTTATTCACAGCGAGCCCAAGATCCTTTTTATATGGTTGATAAAAAAATCGCATTTTTCATGAAGCTTTTTAGAAATTTTCTTCATTTTTCTTTCATTTTTGCCCTTTTCGTAGCTAGATCCGAATTTTAGGGCAATCGGAGCGCTTTTAAAAAATTGGAATAGCAAGGACTGGGATCTACCTATCAAAATAATTTAGGGAGGGGAGGGTAGGGACAACGTGAGGTCCAGTTGTTCACCACGAGATGGAGATGGGTAGACAGATGGATGTTGGAGCTTTGGAGACGGGATTTCTGGCTGCATTAGCAGTGTTTTCCTTTATCTTAATAGTGATTGGTTATGTGTGTTATAAGCTGAGAATTCACTACAAGTTTCTGTACAAGGTAAATTTAAATTTTGCATGAATCAAACTATGGGCAAGCTCTTCCGAACAAATCTGATGTAAGTCAGAGGATTTGAGTCATGTGACGTTTGGCTTGGATGTCCTAGACATTCCGCTTTTAGTATACTATACTCCTATTATAGCTTAATTTGGAAGAGAAGCAATATAATTTTACTCCTTAGTAAAGTAAACTTCATTGTATTGTCCTCCAAATTAGCCTGGTCTGTGAGTTGCGGCAAGGGGTCTAATTGCCCAATAGAGCGGTTTGCATTTTAACCGTGAAACAATGTCTAAAGTCAGAAATACAGATTAAAGTGAAGTAGTGATAAATATGCTATATAGTGTATTTCACAAGTTTATTAAAATCATTATATAAAAGAGCTAATTAGTGATTATATGCTTGCTATCTATCAATTTACATGATTATCTGTACTATAGTTAGATGAGCATTCAACAAAACATGGAGGTGAGCTGGTTGCTGAAGTATTAAAAGTGAGTTTTTCTTCACCAGTTGAAACAGTCTTCAGGCAATATACTGACTGTACTATAACAAGAAATAGCATACCCCACAATTTTCGGGGACCACAGAGAGGGAGAGTCTGGGGAGGACGGAGGGAGGGAGGGAGGGAGGGAGGAGGAGGACCAGGAGCAGGAGGAAGAGGAGGAGGACCAGGAGCAGAAGGAAGAGGAGGAGGACCAGGAGCAGGAGGAGGAGGAGGAGGAGGAGGAGGCTGTACACCTCCCCCCTCAAACACACACACACTTTTTGCTCATACTTTAAATTTTCTAGTATTGGCTTTTCCCCTGATGTTTAGTCTTATGTAGTACATATATGAATACTAGTCAGTAATGTTTTCCAATCAAAGCCTCACTAAGGTACTCCATGACCCATGATTGTTTGATTGTTTAAACTGGGGCAAAACTCGCCAAAGATGTACTAGCTTAGATAGAACTTTTAAATTGTGTCGATCCCTTGTTATTCGACCTTTGAGTTTTATAAATTAAAATATATTATGAATTAATATATATTATGTCATGTTGCAGGCACATGGAGTCAAATACGTGTTTACATTGGTAGGAGGACATATTTCTCCAATCCTTGTTGCCAGCCAGAACAATGGGATAAAAGTTATAGACACTAGACATGAGGTACTAGAGTAATGTATAATCCAAGTCTGTACGATTTTAGAAACATTTTATAAGTGTATTGATCAGGTGAGCTAAAACTAAAGACAGTCTTTCAACAGACAATACCTGGCTTCCTCCAAGACAGAAGGTTTTTTTTATAAAAAAAGGTTCCGGACCTGCCCAAAGAATCCATCGAAAGTTCTCTCACTAGTCGAGAGATACTGTAATTTTATGTCTTTTTAGGAGAAACTTGGCATTTATATACAGTGCTAGACTGGCACTATGCATTTTGGGGTATTCCTAGCATTTTGAGTGTTCTTATTTCTTCTTATGAGTTCAAAGATAATTAAAGTATATATGTTATTACATGTAAATGTCTGTATTCTGTACTAGGTAACGGCAGTGTTTGCTGCAGATGCAGTAGCAAGACTCTCAGGAGTAGTAGGAGTTGCTGCTGTCACTGCAGGACCAGGTAAGGTTCCAAAAATTAGGAATTTATATAATGGTGTTCTGTGATCATAGCTGTTGCAATTCAGAGGCATGCTGGCAGGATAGGGTCCAATGGGTTCTAGACCCCCCTCTTTGATATTAGTAATGATAAAAGGGTAAATTTTACACCGTGAAAAGATGAAAAAACTGACGTTTCGGACGCTAGTCCTTCGTCGGAGTCTGCAACTCACCCTAGTTTTTAGCTAGTTATCTCTTCTTCAATATTACTAGGTTCATAGCTATTTAAAACTGATTGTATGCTACATGTTTAACTTATCTTTGGTGTTTTTTTTCCAACAGGTCTTACAAACACAGTTACAGCAGTCAAGAATGCTCAAATGGCAGAATCACCATTGTTACTGATCGGAGGAGCTGCTGCGACACTCTTGAAAGTATATAAAATTCTAAGACTTGTATTATTGTATCTAGACAAGTTAAAAGAGATATGCATTTATCAGCATATAATAATGTGAATTAATATATACATAAAGAGGATTTGTTATACATAAGTTACAAGATGTAATAATTTGTGTACAGAAAAAATAATGGCTGCTTTACATAACCAGACATCTCTACATGACCGGATCAATGTGACCAGTCAAAAGAACTGGCCTAGGTAATAAGAAGAGTTTGGCAGGACAAGTACCAATTTTGGCCAGACATTGTTCTTTGACCAACCATTAATTTGAGCACCAGTATCCATTTCAAGCTTGACATTTATCTTACTTTAAGATTTCTATAGCATAATAATGAATAATAATAATTTATTACTTATATTGCGTTTCATTCAGATATGTTCGCAAGTGCATTACAATAATTTAAATAAATACATATCTATATATAAATAATAATAATAACGACATTCTAAAAAGCGTTAAGGCCAAAAGGCTAAGAAACAAAAAGAAAAACAGAACAAGTCTAGAAATTTGAAATATAATAATAAAATGAAATAATAAAATCTATCTAAATATGATAAAAAGCCTCATAACTTCATTTAATCATATGGTTTTGTTTATCTACTTAAAGGGAAGAGGTGCTCTGCAAGACATAGATCAGATGTCTCTGTTCAAACCTTTGTGCAAGTTTTGTGCTACTGTTACAAGGTTAGATATATACTGCAGCAGCAGGGCTTAAAATATCAGTTGCCGGTCAAGAGTACTGCAGGCCAAATTAGTTTTAGGCCAAACAAGAAAATAAGTGTGTTTCTTGTTGCATGAGAAAAATAATTGGGGTCGGTAGGTCTGGTTTTTTTACTGATACAACAGTCGAAATTAGCTTACTGGGAACCCTGTGGTGCATTTGGGAATGAAAAAATATTAGGGTCGGCAAAAATTGACAAGAAAATTAGGGTCGGTTGCACAACAGGAAACACATACCTCATACCTCATTTCTGGCTAAAGGTGGTTACTGGTCAAAATGTCCAGCAAGGCAATGCTTTGACCAGACAAGTCGCAGTTCTGGCCAGATATATTTGATGTCCGACCATTATTTCTAGCCCTGAGCAATGATTTCAAATTTCCTTTATTGATGAGATTCATTTTGACAAATGCTCTTCAAATTCTGCTGATTGATTTGTTCCTAAACCTTTTCAGGGTTGCAGATATAATTCCAGTCCTACGTACAGCACTCAGAGAAGCACAATCTGGAACTCCAGGTATGTTTTGTCTACAAAGAACAGAAGTGAGCTCCAGACAAGTCCGTTAAAACATCTACAGTATATAGTTATGTACTCTCATTTTCTTGTACTCTCGCTTTCTCACTGGACTCAAACCTATTGCAGTTTATCAGTTATTGTAACTATTTGGAGTTTTTACCGTTATCATAAATAAATAAATAATGAATAAATAATAATAGATAATTTTTTTTCAGGGCCCGTTTTTGTTGAATTCCCAATTGATACTCTTTATCCATATTCACTTGTAAAAAGGGAATCTGGTATCAAGGTAGGTATTATGAAATAACATTCTTCATATTCCTTTTAAGAAGATCTGGTCTTGAAGCATTCATTGAATCTCTTTGTAGTTCCCACAGGGAGCCCAATAGTCAAAATTGGAAAAGGAGGGCAAGAAATGGGAGAAGAAAAATAGACCAGTGTCTAAGCCTCTTTACTTTGGACGTAAAGCTTTCCCATTTCAGACCACATGTCATTCTCTTGAGAATAAGATTATTTGTTGAAGTTGTATCCATGTTCATAGACAGCCCTTAAGAAAAGAAATAATATGCAAGGGAATGACAAGTGGTCTGAAATGGGAAAACATTGTAGCAAGACAAATGTGGTCTGTTATTTTATGAATTAAATTATGTGTAACTAAACTCTCATTTCTTCATAACTTCCCATTCCTAGGAAAACCCAAGGGGATTTGTACAATTTGTGATCAACTGGTGAGTTGAGCAATATGTATTTTGGAATAGAAATATTATTGATAAATTGCTYAAGTGAAGTCTACTGCTACAGCATTATAAGAAAGTATATTATTGATAATAAAGCTAAATGAAACTGCACACTCTGATTGGTCAAGAACTGTGCTGTATGAGGAACAGAGCATGATATCAATTGAGTAAGACAATTAATCTATGTGCATGCAGCCCGCTTTAGGGAGTATAAGAAAACAGTATTAAAAACTACAACACATTTTTTCTTTCTTTCGATAAAGACTAATAAAACAGCTTTCATCCATGTTCTGTTCAGTAATACAGCACATAGGAAGTGTCGAAAGCACTCAGGATGTGTTAGAAGCACTTGCCTGTAAGGGACAGGAAAAAGGGACAGCCATCTATTTTAATATAAACTATTAACTTTCCCTTGCAGGTATATTTCTAACCATCTACATTGTCTATTTGCTGGTGCCTGGGACCAACAAGAAGTCAAACCACTGCCTGTTCATATCCCTCTGCCACAACATTCACAAGGTAAGCACTCTCATGGACCTTGAATCATGAGTGGTTTAGCTTGAGTACTAACAAGTTGGAAATGTACTAATATACTACTTCACCTTTTCGGCGCTAGCCGTCTTGGGGTATAAATTGTTTTAGATTGTGTTGCGGTCACCAAAAAGTTCGGACATTGTTCTCAAATTTCTGTACAAATGTACTTATTCTAAATGAACTATTTACTTGGTTAATGTTTAGTTAGTTCTACATAATCATTTTTTAGCTGGATTTTCTTACTGCTGTTAAGATAGCTAACTAAAGAAATCTACCTAAATTTTCTCTTTAAAGTCAGTGAATTTCTATGGAAATCCGAGAACAATGTCTGAACTTTTTGGTGACTGTTAAACAATCCAAGCTAATGCCGAAAAGGTGAATTATAAATGTACAATTTATGAATTTGATTTATAGAAATCATTCAGCTTTTTCAAGGATTAAAAAATCATTTTAAAAAAATATATTACGATATAGGATAAGCATAGATGAATCAAGTTAAATGAAGTTGATAAACTATGTAAGAGTTTCAGTACATTCGTACAACAATAATGACACAATGCCCAAATTTTTTGGTGACCATAACACCAAGTACACCATATATGGTAATCTAGATATCGTTGGTGAATTTTTAAATGTATTATTTAGTAATGTATCAGTGATTATCTACCCTTGGTTAGCCTGTGGTTCATGTTCATTTATTGAAAGTTATAGTAATGAACCCTTTCTCCATTAGCGATGGAGTGTGTGAAGCTAGTATCAAAGTCCAAGAAGCCAGTCATTCTTCTTGGTAGCCAAGCAACGCTACCACCAATTCCAGCAGACAGGCTTAGAGACTCCTTAGAGGTAATGTTTCAAACAAATATGAGACAGCTTGAAGGTATCACGCTAGGAATATCAGGGGTGGATGCAGGGAGGGATGGGGGGAGGCTGTAACCCTCCCATATATATAGTTTTATTTGATCAAATAAAAAAAACATTTTAAAATAATTTTTCCAAATTCTGTAAATAATGTCATTTGCAAATTCGGTTAAGTTCCCTTTACATTTTTGGCAGTAACTTTGTTGTGCTTGGTGAAGTTGTTTTTTTWAAAGGAGTTGGGGATGCATGGGAAATCTATCCTCATATACAGAATTAGCAACAACAAAATTTATGCTATCTTGTTTTCCAAGGGTCAATCTTGATAGCCACTGTCTAACAATCCTGTGGCGCATGTTCTGTAATCAAATTGGAACTTAGAAGTTGATTTTTGCAAAGGAAGATACCAGAGAACCCAGAGAAAAATCCTTGAAACACAGAGAACCAACAAACTTGAAACAACTCTACTCACACCTGACATGTTATGCCAAACCCTGTATAACAAAAAAGTTGAAGATAGAATGTCCAATCTGCAAAAAAGAAACCGAAAATGAAGCACACTTCTTATTAAAAGTCACATATGGAGAAAAAAGAAGTGGGCTTTATGCAGAGATAGAGAGAGAGAAAATGCAACACGACGATCTATTCTGATGAATCCACCTGATGTTAAAATTACCCAGAAAATTATTGCTAAATTCATATATGACATTACGAATCTACGAAAAGAAATTATTAAGGATAGACAATGATCATATGGAAAAAACATATGAATAATTAGTATATTATTGTATAATATTTGGGTTACAGTTGATGTACCTTGTGCAAGATGCCAAATAAAATCTACCTTACCTTACCTTACCTTATCCTAATCCCAAATGTACACAGTAATATGAAAATAATATAGTTGTATAAATAATATTTGTGTCATATTTTCTACACAGGCTTTGGGTATTCCATGTTTTCTTGGAGGAATGTCTCGTGGTATGTTAGGCAGAAACAGCCCTCTCCACATCAGGCAACGAAGACGTGACGCTCTTAAAGAAGCTGATCTTGTTATACTTGCAGGTATATATGCTCACGTCATTTTAATTAACAGTGAGTGCATTTTTCACTTTTTTTTTCATTTCTATTGATGCATTTTTTTGTGTTTGTGCTGCAGGTACCGTGTGTGACTTTAGGCTGTCTTATGGACGAGTTCTGAGCAAGAAGTCCAAGGTCATTGCCGTCAATAGGAACCACTCTCAGCTTTATAAGGTCAGAGTTTGTAACTTTGGTTCTTTAAATTATATTTTTTCACAGGGAATAAATACCAAGATAAGAAAAGAGTTTTTTTCAATATATGAAATTACCATATGAAATTCTCCAGTGAAGTGTGGACGCAGAAGAAGACCAAGGATTATCCCATCATGCACTGCATGCCATATATATCTACCCATAGTTAACATGCTAATGACTCTATAACATGTTAAATAGCTTTGTCCAGAAAATGTTTTAGAAAATATCAAATATGACCTCCACAATTTTTGTTCACATATAGATCCTTTTAAATATACTTTCAGTTGGGAGAAATGTTTTTCAATTACAGACCACATGTCATTTCATTGAGAATAATATTCTTTTTTGAGTTGTATCCATATTCATGTGTCTTCTCATGTGCAACTGTTAACCAAAAAAATTATACTCTAGGGAATGACAAGTGGTTTGATGAGTGGGCAAAACATCAATTACTCCCAAGGGAAATAGGGTTATTGTGATCATTTTGACTGACATTTTCATTTAATGGCAACTTTTTTTATTTCCATATTTTTGTTTCTATTTTCATCAGAATTCCGACATGTTTTGGAAGCCATCCATAGCAATCCAGGGTTTGTAACTAGTTCTTCTATTCAGACTGGTTCACAGTGAATCAGATAGGGAGGTTCTGGCCCCAAAAATGGGGCCAAAATTTTGACCCTATAGTGGCCTCCTTAAAGTAGGGCTATTTTGGCACTACCGGTAGGGGCCATTTTTTAAGTTCTGATTTTGGGACTGTTTTAGCCCCTTATATGGATTTCCCCCCTGATTTGGCCTAGTTAAGGGGGCCAAAACAGTACTGATAGACCCATACCTAAATGGCTTCTGTGGGGTCAAAATGGCATTTTGTTCTATTTTGGCTCTAGCCTGGGCTAAAATAGTACTACAGCTGTAAAATTTACTGTGTTGTTTTATTCATTTGGATATTTCTATATTGTATAAAGTACCCAATGGCTTCCCTTCAGGTGACCCAGTCTATATTGTATAAAGTACCCAATGTCTTCCCTTCAGGTGACCCAGTCT